CCCCAAAACCCCAAAACCCCAAAACCCCAAAACCCCAAAACCCCAAAACCCCAAAACCCCTTTTAGCTATAATTTAATTGATTTGAGTCAAAATGATAGATACTCGGATTTACAAGCTGAAAGCTGAGCTACACAGCTCCAATCGGGATGATAATGGTCGACATGTGATTGAGTGGGCTACTATTCATGCTCAGGTTAATAAGGACAAGATTGAGTACACCACTGGCTACAAGAGAGCCCTTGTGGGGGATTTTGAAGAAGTTCTACCACACTGAACCCTTACTTTCCTTGAAATTGATGGCGAACAAGTAGCCAAGTTGGAGGAAATTGTTAGAAACAAAGAGACTGTTCATAAGATCTTATTAATCAAACCTCACGAAGATCACTTAGATGATTTCGAGAAGGTTTGTCTAGTCATTAGAGAGCATTCAATGGGTCAAAAGGATATCGGTAGGCCGATCTTGGTTAACTCTCATACTGGTAGAGGAATCTCTGCTCTATCTAGGAAAGCAGAGAATCAAAGCTACAGAGGACTTGTCAATATCTTGATAATTTTACTAGTAGCCTCTAACGCACATAATATCCTGAAAGTTTTGAAAGAAGATGGCTGGATCTTTGGAAAGATTTGGATTGATGTCATCACAAGTTCTGCTGCCTTCAAATTAGAGTATCTCAAGTATCTTCTCTATGGACAGTTTTTGGTAAGAATCGGTTTTGAGAGTGACATCATTTTCTGTATTTTTGTGATTTTAACTCCAAAATCTAATATCTTTGTAGTTTACAGGCCCACTGATTTCAGTAGGTATTGAGAAATATCTTGCTTGTTCAAAGAAAGTTCCAAGATTGGTTGTGTTCATATTGATAGTATTAAATCTCCTCCATATGCTAGCCTATCCATGCTGGTATGGAGCCTACATGGAAGTCCATATGTTGGTAAGAATCTACCCTCTCTTGTTCTCATGAATGTGGTTCCTAAAACTGTGAAGCTATCACCACATCTGGCATGACGTCAGATACCATCAAGGATTAATTGACTCAGATATTAACAAGGAAGGCCTTGTGGATTCTCAAGGAGAGCCAATTCCTGCAAAAGAGGAAGAATATCTCTCAAAAATAGCTGAAAAACTGAGTCTCCCAAAGCCAATAACACGGAGTGTTTACAACTATCCAAAAAATGTTAATTTGTTTGACGTCATCATCTTTTGTCTCATCCCCACTCTTAACTTCCAGCTTAAATATCCCTTCAAGAAGACCAGGAACTATAAAAGATTTGTACTGAGATTACTCGAGGTTGGCCTCTGGCAGGTTGTGTGGGTAATCATCATGATGGAATACGTCTTTCCACTAGTCCATGAATGCTCAGCGAGCTTTAAGAAGGAAGACTATGTTTCAGCTTTATACTATTTCATCAGATTAGCTGTGCCTAATACCTATTCATGGCTGATCATGTTCTATAGTCACTTCCACACTTATTTCAATGCTTTTGCAGACCTTACAGGATTCTCGGATAGATGTTTTTACCTGGACTGGTGGAATTCCACCAGTCTCAGCCAATATTGGAGGAAATGGAATCTTCCAGTTCACAACTGGCTTACAAGACATATATATCTCCCTAGTATGAGAAGAGGGCATAGTAAAGCTTTGAGCATGTTCTTGGTGTTCCTCTTCAGTGCTGTGCTGCATGAATTCATTATCTGAGGTATTTTAGAGCGTGTCTCTTTGATCGGCTTCAACTCAATGGCAATCCAGGTTCCTTTCATAATCCTCCAAGAAACATTCAAGAAGTCATTGGGTGGAAACATCGGCAATTTCATATTCTGGATGACCTTCTGAGTAATCGGACAACCTGCAGGAATGGTAATGGGCTACATTCTTCTAAATTAGGTAAAACCCATTCAAAAACCTTCAAACCTAAAAACCCAAATTTATTCACTTCAAACGTCATCAATTGTTCAATTTCCCTTCACCAACATGGGGTTTTGGGGTTTTGGGGTTTTGGGGTTTTGGGGTTTTGGGGTTTTGGGGTTTTGGGG